GGACTAAAACTATTTCTGTCTTAATAACTGTCGCTTCTGTCAGGCCGGGGTTTTTTCTGAAAAGTGAACATATGTAACGATAGGAAACGATTGACACCTTTAAAGTCACTAAAAACCGGAGTTGAAATCAGCGTTCTGTTGCCCAGAGTGGTGACAGGTGCTTATACACATTGGTAAGCATTATGTGGGAAAAAAAAGGGCATCTCGCCACGTTTCTCCTTTCCCCTTTTGTAGCCGTATTTGGTGAGAGAATTGTATTTGCCCTGGTTAAAAACAGTACGGTTTGTTTTCCCCGCAATGATTCCCTCAGGGTTCATCGAAGAAAAACTCAAGCAGCCAGTTCACTGGCATTGTTTTCCCAAATGGGGCAAATGGCTTTATTCCCCTTTTTGGGTTTCATCAAAGCTGGGGAGGAACAAAACGTCCCCGCCTGCCAATCCCAGATGCGGTCGCTGGGGGGGTTGGGTATTGTACCCGGATTGTGGTTTTGCAGGTTGGGGGTGCAGGTTGTGGAGTGTGGGGTAGGGTGAGGGGGTTTTTGCAAGTCACACGTGGGTTAGCGTGGCCCCTATGGGGCCACATGGGCCTCCACCTCACATCCCACCACCACTGCCTGCCCACACTCCTCTTCATACCCCTCGTTACAATATCGCATCTTTATCAGGAGTGGTTAGGGCCAGGGATGGCCCAGAGTTTTTCCCTTTCCCCCCGGAAAACATATGAAAAACTACCCGAAGAGCTATTGTACATACTGCCCGTTTACTTGGGGAAAATTTACTCCCTGTCCTAGAAAAGCTTTTAATGATTTTAAATCACATCACTATCCTGCTAACATCGGGGGTTTTCACGACCAAATTTTCCTCTTTTGTCCGGTACAGGGGAACTTTAAAATGAACAAGCCGGCCCACACCAGAGGGGGAAGGTTGTGGTTCATCAGGGGTTTTCCCTAATTTTTATCCTGGGGACTTTTTCCCGAACACTCGTTTAAAACCCCGGAATTCACTGTCACTGACATTTTTATCGCTGTTAGAGCTATCACTTGGGGAAAAAAAGACCCCCAAACCCCGGGGGTGAGGAACTTTTTACCGAGAGGGATGGTGAAAATGGACTAACAACTGGCATCCCACAATCACCGCTGGGTCCCAGATTTTTTTCACAGGGGGCCCAACCACTGAGACCCATTTTCTCTCAAAAGGCCTACCAGGCCCTTTTTCCCTTGATTTGAACCGCTAGAATTTTTGGTATAAATTTCGTCAAAACATTGGTCGAAGCGTATTTTATACCGGAAACAGTCCCCCCAAAGGGTTTAAAAAATTTTTTTCCGCTCATCGAACCCCCAGGGGCCCAAGGCACCACTTTCATGTTCCAGGCCCCCAGCGTCGCCTCCAGAGGGAAATGCTTTGGTACTTGGCTCGGTCCAGCCCGGGGGCTGGGGGAAATTCAGATCTTTTATACATTGTGCCATTGTATTCATGTTATGTTTTTTTCTGTAAATGATTTTGTTTATTAATAAATGTTCACATAGAATATAAAAATATAGGGTGGTAGACTGATACACCTTGAAGTCTTCTGTTTCGCTCCATTCTCTTCCCCCGTCCGAACCACCTCAAAACCCTTTCCCGCCCCTGGACAACGTTTTGGTAACCGCATTCCTCCTAAATTCCAAACAACAATTCTCTGCATTATTTCCACCAACTTGCCCCAGACATGAATCTCCACTGCTCCCCCTTCTCCTCACTGCAACATTCATCACCCAGCTTTACACCCAATAAAAACGTTTTTGGGAAAAAATAAACTCCTACATTTCCCCCCTTTGCCTTCAAGACAAAATTCTTTGTCTCCCCTCCGATGCACCACTCAACCCCTTTTCCCCCCATCATTCATATTCACCCATCTTTCTAGACCATCTGCTGACACTCCACTCCCCAAAAATCTGAATACATTCACCTCCCCCCATACTCTCTCCCCCCCGATCTGATATCCAATCTTTCATCACCTAATCTTTTTAACCTCATAACCTTACTCTTTCCAGTATTCACTTTTAATTTTCTTTTTTTGCATACCCTATCAAATTCATCCACCACCTCTGCAACTTCTCTTTTATTAAATAAAATAAAAACACTAACCACTCCAAAACTACATCCTCACCTGCTTTTAACATTTCTATCTTTATCCTATCAATCCCAGCTGCTTTACCCGCTGCATTCTACTCACTGCCCCACATACTCCCCCCACACTCACACTCGAAGGTACAGATTTAGTTATGATGCCATATATGTGAACAGGTGCAATAGTGCCCACAAATTAAACATTATCCTACTCATTTAGGAATTCCACTAGTTTAGTTCCATTGATGTTTGTTACAGATATTCCAATATCTATATTACACTGGTATTTCATGATTAACAAAGACAGAGCAACATGTGGCTCCCACAATGCACTTAGCAAACTGGAAATTTTTCTCTACTACTGCATACACCCACTCTTTGTTGTGAAGGGCACTCACGATTCTCGTGCCAAATTTGAAGACATAAAAGGCGAATTCGCATCACCAGTACACCATGCCATGAAATGCATTGGTGTTGTCAGCACTTTAAGGGTAAATACATACAATCACTTACGCCACAGATCCCTGTGCATACGTATCCCACACCATACTCAGTTGTGTTAGTAAATCAACTTCTGATCTTTTAATCATCCTATCTTATGTACGGATCGTAACCATGGCTGTACAACAATTGCACAACCCAGGGCAGTTGCCTCTCACTACTAAAGGACCACCAAGACCTAGTCTTGGATACACTGATGGACAAACAAAATGCAGATGTAATATATAGAGACTTTGCAAAAGCCTTTAACCCTTTGACTGTTTCAGTCATATATGTACGTCTTAAGAGCCAATGTGTTTGACATATATATATACTCAAAAATTCTAGCAGCCTCAAATCAAGAGGGGGAAAGCTGGAAGGCCCACATGTGAAAGAATGGGTCTGTGTGGTCAGTGTGCATAGTATAAAAAAAAATCCTGCAGCACACAGTGCATAATGAGGAAAAAAAAAAAAAACTCCGACTGTGTTTTTGGATTAAAACGCTGACTTTGAGGTGTATTTTCATATAGTTTTTATGGTTATATTCTCATTTTCATAGTCACATTTGATAGAATGGAAAACACATTATAGAAACGGAGATTTTGATTGGTTTTACTAGGAAAAGGACCTTGGAATGGAGCTCAAAGTAGGGGAAATGTTTGATTTTTCCGATGTTCAAGAGTAAACAAATGGTGTCATTGTCCAATAAATGTCCAACTAGCCATTTTAATATGCAGTCATGAATGGGTTGACATTATTTATACAATTATTACAATATTAGCATAGTCTGCGTAACAGTAAATCTTCTATTTTTTGTTTGAATAAAAATTCAAAATAGAAAGCAAGAGTGATATCAGAGGGGCCTGGAGAAGTGACTGATGAACAAAGAAAATGTTATTTTAGAGCCAGGAATGTCTGCATTGTTCATTCTGGACCCTATTTTGAAACTGCCATTTTTTAATTTGCGTGAAATTGGCCAAATTGCCAATTTCTGACCACTTTATTGAGTAGTTGAAATTGGTAAATGGGCAGTTTCTTGCACTCAATCGATAGAACAAGTGGAGTTCTAAAGAAATAGCTACGAGTTTGGTAGACGGAACAATAGAATTAGCCGAAAATAGGGCTCAAATTGGGTGAAAGCGCCGATTTGTAAATATCGCCGAGGTTGCTAACTTCGCGAGAGCGTAATTCCGTAAGTTTTCCACCAAATTTCATACTTTTGGTGTCATTACCATCGGGAAAAGATTCTCTTATCATTTCATAAGAATTTTTTTTTTTTTCAAATATTTTGCAACACCAGGAGACACCTCAAGATTTGGGGTTGCGACAGTCAAAGGGTTAACAAGTGTGATCATGGCGTAATAGCATACAAAATGTGTGCTAAAGGAAAAACTAGAAACGTGGACAGATGGCTCTAGCTTTCTAACTAATCAAATACAAGGTACAATAGTAAACAGAGTTAAATCAACAGTTGCCACAGTAAAAAGCTCTATTCCACAAGGTACAGGAGTTGACCCCATCCTTTTTCTCATCCTCGTATCTGACATAGGCAAAGATGTAAGCAATAACACTCTGTCTTCCTCTGCATACAATACTAGAATCTGCATGAGTGTCATCCATTAAGAACAGTGTAAATCTCCAAGCAGATATAAACCAAATTTTCCAATGGGCTCCAGAAAACAATATGAAATTCAATGAAGACAAATTTCAATTTATCAGTTATATAAACTTGAAGAAATAATAGCTAGAACAGAGTATAAAAAATTCTAACCACACAATAGAGCGAAAAACTAATGTGAAGGACTTAGGACTGATAATGTCAAAGGATCTTGCTTTCAAAGATCACAACATTGTCACTATCACCACCACGAAGAAAATGATAGGATGGATAATGAGAACTTGCAAAACAAGGGATGCCAAGCCAATGATGATCCTCTTTAAGTCACTTGTTCTCTCTAGGCTTAAATCCTGCTGTACATTAACAGTCCCATTCAAGGCAGGGAAAAATTGCTGATCTGGAAAATGTAGAGAACCTTCACTGCATAAACCTCTAAGTATAGTCAAGCACCTTAATTACTGGGAATATCTAAAATCCTTTGACCTGCACTCCTTAGAATGCAGGCATGAAATTACATCATGGCATGAAATTACATCATAATTTATACCTCGAAAATCCTAGAGGGACTGTCTCAAATCTGTACACAGAAATCACTCCCTATGAAAGCAAAACACTCAGCAGGCAGTGCAACATTCTCCCTATGAAAAGAAGGGGTTGTTGTGAATAAAACTAAGAGATAACATAAGTGCCGGGACCCAAGACTGTTCAACAGCCTCCCATCATACATAGGGTATTAAACCATAAACCCCTAGCTGTCTTCAAGAAAGAACTGGATTGATTCCTAAAGTCAGTACCTGACCAGCCAAGCTGTGGTTCGTACGTTGCTTTGTGTGTGGCCAGCAGTAAAAGCCTGGTTGATCAGTCCCTGATCCACCAGGAGGCCTGGTCAGGACCGACCCATGGGGGCGCTGACCCCCGGAACACCCTCCAGGTAGACTCCAGGCCTCCAGGTATGGCACCGAAGAGGAATGCGAGTGATGCTGGAAGTGGCAAGAAGTTTAAGCGTGAAAGTCTTGGCGTTTTGAAAATATTGAGACATTTGATAAGCTTTAAAAGTGATACATGTGTGAGAGAGAGTGTGCAAACCTATGGTTTCAATGAAGCATCAGTTAAGGAATAAGACAGGAGCTTATGCAAAGAGTAGCACAGGTTGTGACCTCCTGAAAACAATGACACGGGACACAAAAGCTAATAAATAAGACAGAAAAAATTATTGGGGTGAATAAAAATTTAAGCCAAGAAAAGATGCACCACCTAATTTCATTTTAATAAGGGAAAAATCCTTTCAAGTGCTATAAAACAAGTGAGTGATGAGGAAGGAAGGCCTGAACAAGTGTGTACATTTAGTACAGGCTGGTTCCACAGTTTAAATTGCATAATCGGATGCATAATAAATATTCTGGTGCAACTGCTTCTGTTGACTACACAGTTGCAGGGAATTTCCCAACTGAAATGCAGGAAATTATTTCTGAGGGCACCTATGAGCTACAGTAAGTGTTTATTGCTGAAAAGACAATTTTCTGGAGAAATGCCATTGAGAACTTATATCCATGGGCAAGTGGAACAGAATTCTTCCTCCGTAAGCTATGTGTGTCGTAAGAGGCGACTAAGATGCCGGGAGCAAGAGGCTAGTAACCCCTTCTCCTGTATATATTACTAAATTTAAAGGGAGAAACTTTCGTTTTTCCTTTTTGGGGCCACCCCACCTTGGTGGGATACGGCTGGTACGTTGAAAGAAAGAAAGAAGATCAGCTATAAAAGAAAAGTGCACCGGGATTCAAAGCACTACTGTAGCTTGCTACTGAGACATATGTATGTCAGGTAATTTTAACTCTTTTACTGTCCAGATCCCCAAATGAATCTTGCACTCAATGTCCAAAAATTTAAAAAAAAATATTTTTCTCCTGAAATGACAGTGAATTTTTTTCTGAAGGTAACGACTCCACAAATACAAAATTTGATGGATAACTCATGGAATTACACAGGCACAAAGTTAGCAGTCTCGGCGCAGTTTGTGCACCTGCGATTTCACTGAATTCTAGTCTTATTTTAACCATTTTCAGGGTCGAGAGGCCCTCTCCTAAACTTGTTCTCAGGGTCGAAAATTTTTCAGAAAAAAAAAAAAAAAATATTTTTTCTTATGAAAAGATAGAGAATCTTTTCCCGATCATAATGACACCTAATGAAATTTGATTGAAAACTTATGGAATTATGCTGTTACGAAGTTAGCGGTCTCGACGATGTTTACGCACTGGCCATTTCGCCCACTTTGAGCCCTATATTCAGCCAATTCTAGTGTATTAATCGACAAAAAATCATAAACTATTTCGCTAGCACTCAAATTTTTTTTAACGAATGAGTACAAGAAGCCCCCCATTTACCGATTTCAACTATCCAATGACGTGGTTTGAAATTGGCAAATTTTTCCAAAATTTTACACAAATTTCAAAAGATGCCAATTTCCAAATAGGGTCCAGAGTAAACAAGCCAGACATTCCTGGCACTAAAGTAACATTGTCTCTGTTCATTAGTCACATCCCCAGGCCCCTCTTATATTTCTTTTGCTTTCCACTTTGAATTTTATTCTTACAAAAAAATAGAAGTTTTTATTGTTTTGCAGACTACTGCATTAGTGTAGAAATGGTATAAATAATATCAGCGCACTTGTGAAAGAATATTAGACTCACCAGTTGAAGTGTATTGGACGTGTGGCATGATTTGTTTACTTTTGAGCTTTGGCAAAAATCAAACATTAAACACAAAACTTTGAGCTCAATTTCAAGGTACTTTTCATTGTGAAACCAATCAAAATCATCTCAATTTCTGTAATATGTCTTCCATTCTATAAAATGAGACCAGGAAAACTAGAATACAACCATAAATACCATATGAAAATACAGTGCAAAGTCACTGTTTTAAATCAAAATCACGGTCAGTTTTTTTTCTCATTAAGCACTGTGTGCTGCAGGATTTTTTTTATACTGTGCACACTGACCACATAGCCCACATTCTTTCAAATTTTAGGCCTACCAGCTTTCTCTTGCTAGATTTGAAGGCGCTAAAATTTACGCATACTAATACATCAATAACCCTGGTGCGCAAGATGTACTAGTACGTCGGAAACCCTGAAAGGGTTAAGTTAATTCCATTGTTTCAGTCGACCCAATTCTCAGTTATTTCACTAGAATGTCTTCCATTCTATCAAGTGAGAACAACAAATGACCCATTCAACTATTTCAACTACCTTATAAAGAAAAACAATTTGGAAATCTGGCCAATTTCACACAAAATTAAAAACAATGTACACATTCCTGTCACTAAACAACATTACCTCTGTTCATTAGTCATGTCCCCGGGCCTCTCCTATATTCACTTCTTTTCCTTTTGAATTTTCATATTCACAAAAAAAATGATTTTTCTCTATTTCTTAGATAATAAATTTTGTCTGTTCTTCTGCTAAAACTGTCCACCCTTCTTCAAGCCTTCACAGTTACTATCTTGTTGAAGCTTTCCTTACACAGAACTTTCCTAATATGATTCTTAGTTCTGGATTTGTCTCTGTAGATGCCGTCCTTTCCAATTACATTGTCAAATGCTCCAAACTTCAGAACACTCATGACCTGATCTGATCCATTCCTCTCTTCTTCTCCCTTCCTATTTTTTCCTTTTACTTTCTTTGTTTTCCTTTCTTCCTAAATGGGTTCTGTCCTTCAGTCCCCCCCCCATGTTTTCTGGTCCTTTGTCCTTAGACCTACCCAGCCTCCTCTTCTACTATGCCTACCCCTCCATTACTAACACTTCTATTGCCTCCCTTCAACCTTCACTCCCCTTTCTATCTCTTGTGCCACTATAACTACTATCTACTTTCTACTACTACTACTACTACTACTACTACTACAACCAGCATTACCATTATAAATAACAAAAAAAAGGCACAATACCGTGACTGAAATGATACACAAATAACCCGCACATAAAAGAGAGAAGCTTACGACGACGTTTCGGTCCGATTTGGAGCATTTACAAAGTCACACAGTGTGACTTTGTAAATGGTCCAAGTCGGACCGAAAAGTCGTCGTAAGCTTCTCTCTTTTATGTGCGGGTTATTTGTGTATTACCACTATCACTACTACTACTAGCATTACCACTACTACTTTTTCTTCCTCTCTTTGCCCTATCCTAGTTCCCCTTGCCTATATATACTGGCTCACTCACTCGTGTTAGTTTGGCTTTGTAAATGGTCCAAGTCAGACCAAAACGTAATCTTAAGCTTCTCTCTCATAGGTGTGGGTTATTTGTGTACTATTTCAGTCAAGGTATTGTGCCTATTTGTTCTTTATAACCAAGAATAATTGGTCATGGTTTACAGCATCCCGATAATGGAATTAGACCCACTAAAAACCCATAAAACAAGCTGGGGGTTGTAGGGAGGCCTTATCTGTCCTCTGGAATATTGGGAAAAATCTAATTTTTCTGCTACTTTGATCTCAATTTCAAGCTACTGCCAGTTCTGAAAAACAATCAAAGATCTTATCTATGTTTTCAATTCTAGCAAATGATACAAAGAAACAGCCAAAAAACAAAAACAAAAACTTCAAGAAAATGCCACAAAATTGCTTTAAACCATGCACACAGTTACAGTTTTGTTTTTCCTATCATACACCACCTTGGGCAAGAATTTTTTTTATATGGTACATACTCATCACACAGACCCATTCTCTCACATCTAGATAAAAATTTACCACTCTCAGCTTATCTGAGTGAGCTGGGCTCAAGGTGTACAACTATGTCAGGGACCCTGGCCTCAATGGCTTAGGTCTATGTAACAGACAGCAAAGGGGTTAAGTGCCAGGACTCCCCATGCTTTGAAAGCAACAGATAAAAACCACCCTTTACCCGTCATTATGGATGACAAGAGAATTTATTTATTGACTGGTTAAGCATCACTTAATTCTGGAAATCATGTTTTAGCTGTGCAGCAAGATCCTTGCATTCAGGTTCTCCTCACGGGTTGATAATTCCCCTACTCATCCAAAACTTTAGTGGAGCATTGAATTAAGAGATTTAAGTGTAATTATACCTGAAAAGTGATCCTGAAACTTGTTGCGCAAAAATTCACTCAGGGGGGATACTAGACTTCTGGTGTAAATTTAACGTGCAGACACCATCCTATGTCCGGTGCATAAAAGGGTTTATAAAATAAACAAAAATGAAACGGAGAAAATTTAAAGGGCCCAGGTGGGGGTGACTATTTCCTAATGTTTCTCGTTGTAGCCGGTGAGGATTTTGTTCGACGGGAAAAGGGGTTTGCCAGGTGGGGTTTTTGAAGATGTGCGGGAAATAAGCACCCCTAAAAGAAAAGGAAGAAAGAAGTTCAAAAAATGTTTGCGAGTCAATCCCCATATAACAAAGATGAGGGAGAATAACCAGAATAAAAACTTTTAATGCTGCAAAGTTACTTTTAGCATTTTCATAAATGCTAAAGTTGCAACTACTTCAGCAAGGAGGCCCCTAAAAAGGGTTTAGAAAACTGCTCTGAAACAAGGTCTGGAGCAGTGATTTTTCCTTACAGCGTGTATAAAGTAATTGCATTCAAAAATTTCCCTCAGTACACAAAAACCCGCACAAAAAAAGAGAAAACTTACGCGATTTTCGGTCCGCTTGGACCTTGAAAAAGTCACACTAACAGAGTGGGCGGACGGCTATATATAGGCGGGAAGGGGTGGCGGTAGTAGTAGTAGTGAAATAGTAGTACAAGAATGGTATTAATACGACAAGAAAAATTAGAACTGCGCAACACCCCCGGGCATCCCTATGTAGACGTTTCGCCATCCCCGCCACTGGAGGCAAAACGTCCAAACAAAGACAACCAGACGCCCACTGTTTCTTAATTTCATCATATAGTAGTAGTGTGTATTTGTGAGTAGGGGTAGTGGTAGTGGTAGGGGTAGAAGTGGGAAATAAGGGACGAGCCAGTAAAATAAAAAGGGAAAGGGGGGGCACTGCAAGGAGTAGGTGCCCACTGAGGGAGAGAAAGCGCACGAGGTGCGTGAAAGGGGAAGTGGTGAAATAAATGAAAAAGGAACAGAAACACGGGGCAGGGAGAAAGACAACCCGGGGAAAAGAAAAGGAAAGAGGAAAGGGGGAAGGGAAAAGAAGAAAAAGAAAAAAAAAAAATGAGGAGTCAGGTTAAGTCGGGGTGTTCTGAAGTTTGGGCATTTTACAATGTAGTGGAGAGGAAGGCATCTACAGGACGAAGCCAGGGCTAAGGTTCAAAAGGAAAGTTGTGTTTAGAGAGGATTAAACTAGACGGCGATGTTCGATTTGGAAGTGGGAAGACAGTTTTAGCAGAAGCCCAGTCAATAGGTGGCTTGATCTCTGGTGACAGAAAAGATCATTTTAGTGTAGGCAACCCCTAACACTATTTTTGTGCTCCCTAAGTCTGTCAGAAAGAGATTGCCTTTTTCCGGTATTGAAGAGGACAGGAGGGCAAAAATAGAGTAGACCCGGGAACTTTGTAAGGGAGGAGAGGTATGAAGAGATTAGGGGAAAGAGTGTTATTTGGGCGGAAAGGTAAAGCTTGAGTCAAAGGGGTGGGGAGAATTTTGAGATTAAAAAGCCGGGAAAATGTGGGAAGGCGGGGATAGAAGATTTTCCCAGGATAGAGAGTTTGGGGAGAAGAAATTTGGGTTTAGCCGTGAGGGGGCAGAGTCTATGAAATGGGAAGGGTAGCAAGACGGGAAAACGAATTATAAGAGTGGAAATTTCTGCTGGAAGGAATGAGGATAACGATGCGGGGGGCATGAGAAAGGGGGAGTTTAAAAACCCTTTTTTTCTTGACGGGGAAACGATAGGAAAAGTAGTGAATGTACACCCACTGTGCATGGGTTTTTGGTAACGGAAAAAAAGGGGGAAAACCCTTTTCTGAGCTGTGGGAAAGGACATCAAGGAAAAGGAACAAGGAAAATTTGATTCCCTTTTTTTAAACTTTTTGGGAAAGGGGGAAGATTATTAAGAGCTTCAAAAAAAGGTTGGAAGGGGATGGAGTCTTTAGGCCCAAAAGGGAAAGATGTCACCCCAAGCGGAAACCAGATGAAGGTTGCACACGGGGTAGGAAGAAACAGTCTAAAGTATTCCCCGTAAAAGTTGCAAGGGGGAGAGGAAAAAGGGGGAGCCCTAGCGACACCGAAGGTTTTGAGAATAATATTTCCCTTGGAAGGAAAAGTAGTTAAGGTCCCAAAAAAGGCGGATAGATCAAGAAAGACATCGTAGGTAAGGAGAGAAGAAACCCCTTTATGGGCCTTTTCTCTAAGGAAATCAAGGACCAAAACAAAAGGGCTTGGTGAAGAGGGACTCAAAGTCAAGACTAAGCATTTACAGGGTTTGGGGGAAAACGAACCCGTTCAATGAAATCTTGAGAGTGACGGATGGGGCAGGAGAAAAAGTACCCAAAAAAGGGAGTGAGGGTTTTGGCCCGCCCGAAGCAAAGAATAAGAGACGAACCTCTAGAGGATATGATAGGACAAAAGGGGAAAATCAGGTTTTTTAGTTTTGGGGCCTGAAATAGGGAAAGGGGGACAGATGACACGAAAAACCCTTGAACAGGTCAAAGTCAGGAGGAAGAGGTCGGAGAGAGTCCTAGTTTTTTGTTGAAAGTTCTCTTGGCGATCAAAAGGGTTTTGGGAAACGAAAGGGAGTGTAGGGGCGTGAGTCAAAAGGGCAAGACTCACTTTACGGGGTAAACCTCACATGAAGGATAACACCGTTACCTTTGTCAGAAATAGATACATGTTAGGGATTTAGGGAAAAACAAGTTTTGGAAAACTGGAAGGGGGGATTTTGAAAAAGACAAAAAAAGAGCCCAGGGGAAAAGGGGCCCAGAAAAGTACAAGGCGGGAAAATTTGGGAGTGAGAACGAAAGGGAATCAAAAGAGTAATCAGGGGAAAAAAAGCCGGGAATAGGGGAAATGGCAAGGAAAGGCCAAAACCCGAAGTTCAAGCTCATTGGGGAGTAGAAAAAAGACAAGTTAGTAACACAGTCTGGGGGAATTTTGACCCAAGGGTACTGAGATGAGCGTTTTAAGTTTATTCTGTAGTTTTTGGGAAAAATGAAATTTTTGTATCAGGCGAGCAGTGTCAAGGAATGGTAGAGAGAAAGGTTACAGAGATCCTTGGTAGAGCCGCAAAGAGAGACGTTGACGTTGACGGAAAAATAAAGAAGCATCTTTAACCTGTGTTTGTAGAAAAAAGAGCTGTTTAAGTAGGAGATGGGGCATGTAGGAAAGGAGTCCAGTGGGGTTGGTTTTTAGGAAGTGGGGAAGGGAAGGGGGGCCCGAACTTGTTCAGCAAGACAGTCAGAGGAAAACGAAATGATTTTAAAAACCCCCTGGGAGCAATAAGAGCAGCCCCATAAGATCGAAAGGGGGTTTAAAAGAGGGAAGAACATTAAAAAAGTTGGGAGAAAATGACGCTTAAAATGCGGGTCCAAAATAACAAAAAAAAAGGAAAATACGTGACTGGAAAGATACACAAAAAAAACCCGACATAAAAGAGAAGCTTCGAGATGTTTCGTCCCCACTTTGGGCCATTGACAAAATCACACTAACCCGAAGTGGGCGGAGGTATTTTAGGCAGGAAGGGTGGTGGTGGTAGTGTAGTACAAGAAGTATATAAAACCCACAAGAGGAATTAGCACATGCGCAAAACCGGGTCCCTATCGTAGACTGCGGGTCTTGTTTCTTTGTTGTGGACGTTTCGCCCCCAGTGGCCGGCTGGATGGCGAAACTCTACATAGGGATGCCCCGGTGTTGCGCATGTGTCTTAATTTCATCTTGTCGGTATTATATACCATTCTTGTACTACTACTACCACCACCACCTCTTCCTGCCTATATATAGCCGTCCTGCTCCACTTCTGGTTAGTGTGACTTTGTCAATGGTCCAAGTCGGACCGAAACGTCGTCGTAAGCTTCTTTCTTTTATGTGCGGGTTATTTGTGTATTGTTCCAGTCACGGTATTGTGCCTTTTTTTTTGTTATTCCTCAGTACTCCAGTACAACCACTGACATCAGTGCACAAACCTTTGCTATCCACCTTAGCCAATAATCCACGGCCTTCCACCTCAGCCCAGTATCGCCACACCATACCTCTCTACTTTCAAAATCGTTGACATACACTGTTATTTGAACATGGTTATAAAATGCACTTCCTTAGTTAGCTTAAGCAGCATGTTACAACACTGTTGTAATGTAAGGATAACTAAACTGACAGTTTAATTTGCCACAATGAAACTACTTTCACTGCAAACTGATAAAAATGCAAAAGTTTGTGAGTCTAAGCATTAAAAACTTTTTAACATGGAAATATAAGCTGGGCAGGAATGCCAAATATCAAGATTGGTAACTACTGTTTGTGTCACGGCAGCCTGGGAAATTTAACTGGCTGCTCACATTAACATCCATAGCAACTCGAATTACCCATACATGATGCCCTAGTGAACAAGCTAAAACATACCTGGTTCTAAAACTCTACACAATTTTATCTGGAACATATATGAAGTTACACACCAAGTTTCAACAAATTTGGAGACAGCCAGGTGGAGACCATCTTCAAAACTGGTCCAATTTGCTGTAGAATCACCATTTGTGAGTTTAAATAAAAGTATTAATAAGATGAGTAATATACTAGCACAGGTAATAAAGATGGTACAAGGTTAATAGTACATGTAACAAGACCACAAATTTCACAGGAATAGCAATTTAGGTTAGGTATACAGGGTAACATTATGAGAACATGTATAAAAGTTAATGAATGGGAAGGGAGGTTAATTTGGGATATGTTTGCTTGGCTGTGTTTCTGTAGTGGCTCAGTGAACCAATCCCAGAAGGATGTTTTCAAATTTCAAAATGTAGTATTATAAAAAAGACATAAACATGCAAGACTTACCTCCGAGGAGAGCTTATTGAGGACCACCACAGGCTCTTTCATGGTCTTTGCCAATGTGTTGACATTGTCCTTGGATTCTGAAAATAAAAATACAGTATTGTACATTTTTATACTGTTGTTGTAGATTGAATTATACAGTACCCATCTTACCTTTTGTTTCATTTTCTCAATGTGGGACTGTTTCTACTACACACCCACATGAAAGTTACCTCAAAACAATTTTGAGAGTCACCATCTCCATGATCCAGTCCTAGACCAGACCTAGTTGATGACCTGATCAACCAAGCTGTTGGTGATAGCCGCACACATTCCAACAAAAGTACTATAGCCTGGCTGATCAGGAACTAACTCAAGGAACTTGCCCAGTCTCCTCTTGAAGACAACTCAAAGTCTGTTGGTAATTCCCATTATGTACGAAGGAAGGTCAGGGTTCCTTTACACACATCCCACCCATTTTATACTGCCCATAAACATGGTTTTCTGATTGGAACATATAATTTAGGGCAAGCTACAAGAGACCTGAGAGCACTAATGCCAAATATTATAAAAATGCTCTGATCAGACAGCCCTGTATATGCACAACATAAAATATCCACAAGACTGGGATGCAGTCATCTTCAACACATGAATGTAATTACCACAGGCAAGTCTCCCAACTCTGTCTATTCCCAATGCAAGCTCTATAAAAAAAAAAAAGGAGGCACATGACAATAACAATTACACAGTGGAGTGTCTAGTGACTAAGCCTGATCGAATGGAGTACTTGGAGCTAATAAATATTTTTTTAATTTCAATTTCAACATGCTGGCCATCTCCCACTGAGGCAGGGTCACCCGAAAAAGAAACACTTTCACCATCATTCACACATAATCACTGTCTTTGCAGAGGCGTGCAGATATGACAGTTCAGATAATAACAAAAGGCACAATACCGTGACTGGAACAAAACACAAATAACCCGCACATAGAAGAGAGGAGCTTACGACGACGTTTCGGTCTGACTTGGACCATTTACAAAGTCACACTAACAAAAAGGAGAGCAGGATGGTATATATAGGCAGGAGGTGGTAGTAGTGGCAGTAGTGGAGGTGGAAGGAAGTAGTAGTGGGGAGGTGGTAGAGTAGGAGGGGCCAGTCAAATACTAAGAAAGAGGAGCACTGCAAGGGCAGAGGGTAAGAGCAAGAACACCGAGGAGGGGAAAAACAATAAATAAATAACTAAAAGGAACAAATACACAGGGCGAAGAAAGACAGACAACCCAAAGGAGAAAAAGGAAAGAGGAAAAGGGGAAGAAGGAGAAGAAGAAAAAGGAGGAATCAGGTTAGGTCATGAGTGTTCTGAAGTTTTAGAGCATTTTACAATGTAGTGGGAGACGAAGTCATCTACAGAGACAAGCCAGGGCTAAGATTCATACAAGGAAAATTGTGTATTAGGGAGGATTCAACCAGACGGCGACTGTTAAAGTTGGAAGTAGGAAGACAGTTTTAGCAGAAGACCAGTCAGTAGGGTGGCTGTTTTTCTCTGAAAGTGACAGAAAAAAGCATTGTTAGTGTCAGCAAGCCTAATACTATTTTTGTGCTCCCTAAGTGTCAGAAAGAGCTCGAGAAACTTACAAAAATACACTTACATAACTGGTGGAGTTGGGAGCAGTTCGATATTTGAGGTTCCACTGTATACTCAACAGACTTAGTCCCCTATAATTTTCACACTCTCTTTTGTCCCCTTTGCTTTTATACAAAAGAACTATGCATGCTCTCTGCCAATCCCTAAGTATCTTACCCTCTTCTATACATTTATTAAATAAAAACACTAACCACTCCAAAACTATATCCCCACCTGCTTTTAACATTTTCCCACTGTGGAGGTAAGGCTTATTGGCCTATAATTCAAAGCTAAGGACATGTCACCTGCACTGTAAATAGGTATAACATTTGCAATTTTCCACTTGTCTAGCACTATGCCAGTTTGTAGTGATATACTGAAAAGATTAGCCAAAGGTATTTCTAAGTTCCTCTTTACATTCCTTTAACCCTTTCAGGGTTTTCAACATACAGGGTTACTGACGTACTAGAACACCTAAATTCTAGCACCTTCAAATCTAGCAAGAGAAAGCTGGTAGGCTTACATATGAAAGAATGGGTCTAAAGTGATCAGTGTGTGCAGTATAAAAAAAATCCTGCAGCACACAATGCATGAGGAAAAAAAAAAACTTGACGGTGTTTTTGGATTAAATCAGTGACTTTGCACTGTATTTTCGTATGGTATTTATTGTTGTATTCTAATTTTCCTGGCTCATTTTATAGAATGGAAGATATATTACAGAAATTCAGATGATTTTGATTGGTTTCACAATGAAAAGTACCTTGAATTGAGCTCAAAGTAGCAGAAATGTTTGATTTTTACCGAAGTTCAAAAGTAAACAAATCATTGCCAACCATCCAATACACGTCAACTGGTGAATCTAATATTCTTTCACAAGTGCGATGATATTATTTATACCATTTCTACACTAATGCATTAGTCTGCATAACAGTAAATCTTCTATTTTTTTAAGAATAAAAAAATTTAAAGTGGGAAAGAAAAAAAAAAATAAGAGGGGCCTGGGGAAGTGAAATGAACACAGAACTTTAATAAATATGATTTTTGCGCTAGTACCAGGAAATTGCCAAAAATTAAAGGGCATTTTTTTTCCTTATTTTGTCCTTTTTTTTGTTATTTATTGTAAAATTCAAGTGAAAAACCCTTTGCTAACCTTCCTAATCCCGGTTATGGGATGGCCACCCCTATTTCCTTTTTTTTAAAATCTTACTCATTTTATTTAAAGGGAAAAACACCCCTTATTACTTAACACAGTTCAACCGGAAGAAGGAAACAAGACTTTAATTTACTAAAACCTTTATAAATGTAAAAATGAAAAATTTAGTTAGCTTAAAAAATTTTTAAATGGAATTAAGTCAATGCAAATTCAAAGGGAACTCTTTTTTGTCCGGAGGGGGAAAAATTTTGGTCTAACATTAAACCTAAAATAAATTACCCCATATGCCAAATAAATTTTAAAAATCCCGGGTTTTTAAACCCCAATTTTTATCGGGAACATTTGAAGTTAACACAATTTTTCAAAAAAATTTGGAGCCCAGGGGGAACATTTTAAAACGGGCTTTTTTTTTTAAAATCACCATTTGAGTTTAAATAAAAGTATTAATAAGATGAGTAATATACTAGCACAGGTAATAAAGATGGTACAAGGTTAATAGTACATGTAACAAGACCACAAATTTCACAGGAATAGCAATTTAGGTTAGGTATACAGGGTAACATTATGAGAACATGTATAAAAGTTAATGAATGGGAAGGGAGGTTAATTTGGGATATGTTTGCTTGGCTGTGTTTCTGTAGTGGCTCAGTGAACCAATCCCAGAAGGATGTTTTCAAATTTCAAAATGTAGTATTATAAACAGACATAAACATGCAAGACTTACCTCCGAGGAGAGCTTATTGAGGACCACCACAGGCTCTTTCATGGTCTTTGCCAATGTGTTGACATTGTCCTTGGATTCTGAAATAAAAATACAGTATTGTACATTTTTTATACTGTTGTTGTAGATTGAATTATACAGTACCCATCTTACCTTTTGTTTCATTTTCTCAATGTGGGACTGTTTCTACTACACACCCACATGAAAGTTACCTCAAAACAATTTTGAGAGTCACCATCTCCATGATCCAGTCCTAGACCAGACCTAGTTGATGACCTGATCAACCAAGCTGTTGGTGATAGCCGCACACATTCCAACAAAAGTACTATAGCCTGGCTGATCAGGAACTAACTCAAGGAACTTGCCCAGTCTCCTCTTGAAGACAACTCAAAGTCTGTTGGTAATTCCCATTATGTACGAAGGAAGGTCAGGGTTCCTTTACACACATCCCACCCATTTTATACTGCCCATAAACATGGTTTTCTGATTGGAACATATAATAGGGCAAGCTACAAGAGACCTGAGAGCACTAATGCCAAATATTATAAAATGCTCTGATCAGACAGCCCTGTATATGCACAACATAAAATATCCACAAGACTGGGATGCAGTCATCTTCAACACATGAATGTAATTACCACAGGCAAGTCTCCCAACTCTGTCTATTCCCAATGCAAGCTCTATAAAAAAAAAAAAGGAGGCACATGACAATAACAATTACACAGTGGAGTGTCTAGTGACTAAGCCTGATCGAATGGAGTACTTGGAGCTAATAAATATTTTTTTAATTTCAATTTCAACATGCTGGCCATCTCCCACTGAGGCAGGGTCACCCGAAAAAGAAACACTTTCACCATCATTCACACATAATCACTGTCTTTGCAGAGGCGTGCAGATATGACAGTTCAGATAATAACAAAAAGGCACAATACCGTGACTGGAACAAAACACAAATAACCCGCACATAGAAGAGAGGAGCTTACGACGACGTTTCGGTCTGACTTGGACCGTTTACAAAGTCACACTAACAAAAAGGAGAGCAGGATGGGTATATATAGGCAGGAGGTGGTAGTAGTGGCAGTAGTGGAGGTGGAAGGAAGTAGTAGTGGGGAGGTGGTAAGAGTAGGAGGGGCCAGTCAAATACTAAGAAAGAGGAGCACTGCAAGGGCAGAGGGTAAGAGCAAGAACACCGAGGAGGGGAAAAACAAATAAATAAATAACTAAAAGGAACAAATACACAGGGCAGAAGAAAGACAGACAACCCAAAGGAGAAAAAGGAAAGAGGAAAAGGGGAAGAAGGAGAAGAAGAAAAAGGAGGAATCAGGTTAGGTCATGAGTGTTCTGAAGTTTAGAGCATTTTACAATGTAGTGGGAGACGAAGTCATCTACAGAGACGAAGCCAGGGCTAAGATTCATACAAGGAAAATTGTGTATTAGGGAGGATTCAACCAGACGGCGACTGTTAAAGTTGGAAGTAGGGAAGACAGTTTTAGCAGAAGACCAGTCAGTAGGGTGGCTGTTATCTCTGAAGTGACAGAAAAGAGCATTGTTAGTGTCAGCAAGCCTAATACTATTTTTGTGCTCCCTAAGTGTCAGAAAGAG